TTTGTTCAGTCTTCTTAATCTGCGATACCAAGCGGAGAGTTGGATCACTTTGTCGAGTGAGAACATCCATATTCTCAGCCGCATTCAGCAAGAGTGTCCCTCCTTCGCGTAGCAGTTCCTTCATGCTCAAGATCTGAGTTCGTGGTTTCTTAGCTGATGACGGCCCTTGTAACGTATCATCCGTCGAAGGTCTTCTCTTGGTCTGCGGGTTGTCGGATTGCGTCTTCCCTGGCAGTTTCGGAGGCTTTGGCAACGACTTTTTCGTCTCTTTGGGAGCTACATCAGCGACCTTTTTGGAGTCATGGAGGATGTGAACGCTGCTAACGCTGTCGTCGCTATGTGAAGCGTCTCTCTTCTTTTTGCCCATCAGCTGTGGAGTCGTGGCTGGCTGCTCCATTGCTCGCTAGAATTAAATGGAGAATTATCATAAGTAGTGGCGTAGTGCGGTGCGATAACATGTAGTGCATGCAGGATGCTATGTACAAAGCGTTCTCATATATCGTGCAATTATAACCGCTTCTTCGTATCCCTCAGTCTGCCCTTTGCTAAGACGTAGATGCCTGTTGCAAGTGACCGTAGGATCCGAAGAGGGATGTTGAAGAGGGAAGCGATGATGCTGAGTCCTTTACATGCTATTTTAAGTCCACATGTCCAGATAAACAAATATCCGATGACGATTGCGGCTGCAAAAACTACTATGGTCGCGGCGATTGTCTTGTACCATCCGAATAGAACGTCGAAGATATGTCCAAAGTCAGGTAGCACAAATTCGTCGTATAATGTGCTTTCACCCCCAGGATTTTCTTGGCTGAGCCATGTATCGTTCGTGTCCATTGAAGTATGCCAGTGATTTCAAATGTCGTTGTGGTCGATCCGCAGTTGACGTCGCAGACCTTTCTCATCCTTGCAAGTGTGTGAACGAATCGTAACGTAGACTCAGTTCCTTCGGGACTACACGGTACGGTGAAGTGCGTGTCGTCACAGCGTATTGAAGCCATTACCGGGCGTCCGTCAGTGGTGCAGACAATTTTTGATTCCGCTCCTTGTGGGCATTGATAGCAGCCCTTTGCTATTGCATTGTTCACTCGACAAACGGAGTCCGTCACGTCTGTAACTACTTTGTTGAATCTTTCCTTTGTGTGGATGATGAATTCGGCCGTCGTGAGTGCTGGTACGTAAGCTGTTGGTATTGTAGAATCGTGCTCCGATGGCTTGAATGTGATCCACGGGCGAAGAACAGGAAATCGGTTTTCAACCTCGTTCTGGAAGACATCGGTGATGGGTACGTTCTGTGCATGCGCACTGTACCTTGCTTTCTGCCGGTTGGCATTCGCAGTCTGTGTTCACCATGCAGTTGAGAGAGGCCGCTGAGTCTTTCGAGTCGCACACCAGATTGAGTTTTCCTTCTGAGTTCCACAGTGCCAGATGTGTTCCATCAGAGATGAATTTCGATGCAAGTGTTGGAGTTGGCGGCATCGTTAATGACGTGAGTGTGATCGTTGTGTCATTGAGTGTTGTCGTGACGGCTGGCTGTAGGCTGATGGATTGATTCCTAAGTTTTGAACTCGTTATGGTCACGATCTCAAGCTGGACTTCTTCTTTCCATCGAGGACATTCGAAGATTTCGTAGATTCGTTGGTATATTATAGATGCGGTAAAAAAGACATCCGCTGCTCCAGTAGAAGCATCCACATCCTGGTCCACCGCAGCTTTCGACGCATTTAGTGATGCCAGGGTAATTGTTCCCAGGTGCTAGTTCTTCAATCTTAGAAGACGCATTGATGTTTCCACATTTGTCTCCTGTGCAGGATCCGAGCCCTGGGCATCTCTTTGAATCGATGACGTGTTGTTTTGTGCTACGGGTAAATGTGGTGCTCTTTTTCTCGCACGTTAGTTGGAGTCCTTTCCAGAAGATCCGAATTTCCTTCACAAGCGTTCGGTTGAATAGGAAGCGGAGGCAGGCTTCTCGCTGTAAGTCGTTCATCTTTACTACTTCCTTGGTTGCCATTGCGCAGACCTTCATTCCATTTGGAGACACAGTGCACGTTGTCGCTTCGTGAGAAAAGACATCCACGTTTTGGCAAGCAATTATCAGCGATATTGTAGATGCAACGGCAATAGTGAGTAATGGGGCTCGTAAGAATTCTTCGATGTCGTTTCGTCTGCGTCGATGATGCCTTCTGAGCGTTCTCCAAACGATCCAAAGAATTCTCCCTATGTATTTCACGCCTGACCCCAGTATCCCAAAAATCAAGCGGAAGGGTTTACCGATGACCATAGGTACATAGCAAAGAGCGTACAGCAGGGCCGTAAGAATATACGCAATTGTCGCTATTGTCATGATGGCTGCTCGTGGGGAACATTCCGGGTTGAAGATATTCGCTGTGCAAAACCAACATTGGACATTGTCACAGAACGAAGTGGGCGGGCAGGTGAGCTCAAGGTGGGTGAAGTGATTTCCATCATACAGCTTCCACTGAACTTTATGCTCGTGTAGAGTGATTTCCGGAGGGAATAGGATGGTTTCCTCAGAGGGCGGTCGCATTTTCGTTACACAGAGGCTCTCAGCGCATAGCTCGTAACGTCGGACTTGATGCGCTTTGAGCTTGGCTCCCCCTTGGATGCATTCAATTCCAATGTTTGAACTACTCCCATTCGTCGGCATCTGTGGTGTTGCAGTAAGGATGGGCAGTAATATGAGAGCTGTAGTGAAGAGAAAGATGTTACCGGGGATGTTTGTTGCTCTCGCTGTAGTTCCGTGTCTTTTGTCTTCTTCCATCGGTTTTCGACGTGGACGAAGGTTGTAGTGGGGTTTCGTTTCTCGGGTTTCCGGAGGTTTGTTAGGGTTCCTTCCGTTCCCATTTCCTCATGAATGCCCTTGTTGTCTTCCAATTCTAGAGGAATGAGATGGTTGATTGGTCGACGTATTGTTCTGCCATTGGGCACTTTCAGTTCAGCTTCTCTAACTGTTCCACTCTGAGACTTCAGCTTTACTATACGTCCCATTTTCCATGAATTACAAGGTAGAACTGGATCAGAAACCAGAACCACTGAGCCTACTAGAGGCGATTTATTCCCTGCTCGAGATGAGGAAACATCGAGTTTGTGTGTCTCTCGTAAAGTGGTGAGATACTGTTGACTCCAAATGTTCCAAAATTGTTCGGTTAGCTTGTGGCTCGTTCGTAAGGCTTCTTCAGCCTGCTTTCCTTGTTCTGAGTTGCAATGCTTCTTCAGGTGGAAGGTAATCGGCGTCTTCCTCATTGTGTTCTGCGTATTCGAAGGGGTAGGTGACCACTATATCACGCTGGATGAAGTCAATTGGGCGGAGAACCGGGTTTTCTTCCCAACGTTCTTCTTGGTAGGTGAGTGGGCGACTGTTAAGCATCCCTTCGACTTCTGTCAGCAGAGTTTCCAGAGTCTCTCTTGTTACAATGGCTTTCCGCATGATTTTGTATAGTGAGTGTTTCACCGACTTGATCAGGCGTTCGTAAAAAGCACCCTGCCACGGTGCATATGGGGTGTTTGTTTTCCATATGATCCCCTGGGTTGCCATTGTTTTCGCCAGAGAGATGTCGTTGAGCACCGGAAGGACTGCGTTCTTGAGTATCTGCTCCGCCAGAAGAAAGTATTGTCCGTTGTCTGTAATAATGGTATGTGGGATGCCTCGTCGTGCAAAAAATCTGCGTAGGGCCTGCAGAAATGTGATTGTTGACATGTCAGTGACCAGTTCCAAGTGAAGAAGTCGTGTAGTGGTGCACGTGAAGATGATTCCGTAGGCCTTCTCCTGGACTTCGTTGTTCTTTATTGGTATTGGACCGAAGTAATCGATGCCGGTATACTCGAATGGTCTTGATTTGCGGACTCGGCATTCCGGTAAGTCGTCCATTTCCGGATATTTGAACGGCAAGTTATTGAAAGTCTGGCATTCAACACATCGTTGTGTAATTCGTCTCACAAGCTGTCTTAGCTTCGGAATCCAAAACGTTCTTCTTACATTAGCCATTGTATGGGCAATACTGCAGTGCAATGGCATGTGGTTTTCCATAACGATGAGTTCTGCTAAGCGCGTTTTCGTTTCGATCAGTATTGGCTGTCTGGTGTCAAATTTTAGGTCTGCATTGTTCATACGTCCGCGACAGCGCAGAATCCCGTCGTTGTCAGAACGAAAGTTCAGCTGCTTTTCACAGGTGTTGCGTCTTTGAGCTGAACGATGAACGCCTGATGATTCCGTACGAGAACTTTCAATGCTCCTTGTCGCTCAGTCGCTGTGATGTATTCCTGTGATGATGTGGATTGTAATTCTGGTATCCGTTTTTCCACTCTAGATCGTAGATCTGGGCTGACGTTCTCTATCATCTTCTTGATGAATCGCAAGACATGCGCTTACTGTTGTCACGCAGGTCTTCAATTCGTTGTGCCTTTTCCAATCTAGTAGCTCGCTGGGGTCACTGCAGCCTGTGGTCAGCGTGTTGACCAATGTTGCTGCGTCTTCTTTGAGCTCTTCTGGCAAATGAAAGAGTCGACTTTCCTTCGGCCATGATTCCTCAATGGTGGAAAGAAATGGAGGACCTTCCACCATATGTGGTTCTCAAATTCACTACTATTCAGTCCTCTTGTGGCACAGTCAGCGGGGTTCATATCCGTGCTGACGTAGCCAAACTGGATTTTCACGGGTAGGTTTTCCGCGATTTTCCGAATCTCTTGTATCCGGTTTTTAACCAGTACTCCGACTGAGCTCACTATCGGCCACGCTGCAATCCAACCGAGCACTATCTCTGAATCTGATAGTATGACAACTTCGCTGATGTCTATGCGGCTTTGGAGTGCGGAGTATATGGAGTGAGCTAAACGACATGCGAGCGTCAAAGCGTTGAGTTCGAGTTTTGGAATCGTTGGGGTGTCTCGGATGGGAGGGAGCTTGCATTTCCCAACAATGAGTGTCGACGTTGCTCCTTGCACCAGATAGGCGCATGCTGCCATACTTTGAGCACTGGCATCTGAAAAGAGGATCAAGGCAGTCTTTTGGCCGATTTGGGCGACACAGCGCTGCAGTTCGCATCGGAAGCCCTCGCAATTCGTAATGATTTTCTCCCATTGTTGCTGATGTTCTGGAGACAGGGGAGAGTCCCAAGTGTAATTGTGTGTCCAGAGTTGCTGGAAGAAAATTTTCCCCGGCAATGTGAGGGGAGTGAGCCATCCGTGAGGGTCGTGTATGGATGCTACTTGTTCTGCTACTGTCCTCTTCGTGCACTTTTCTTTCTTCGGATAGTGGCATGTGATTTCGAGGAGATCCTGCTTTGTTTGCCATGGTACCCCAAGGACTTTGGGTCTGGTGTTGGTGCTCAGATCGGGTGGCTTAATTCCTTCATTCACTTTGTCGTGGTTTGACCGGAATTCTCGTAAGTTCATGTTCACCTCCTTGAAGACTTCTTTGGAATCGTGATACAGCTTCAAGGCTTCCGTCGTAGATGATGCTGTCAGAATGACATTGTCGACGTACGTGTTTTCCTGTAGTTGTTTGGCGAACTTTTTATCGTCGACAAAATTCTTCAAGTGATAGTTGATTGTCCCAGCAAGGAGGAAAGGGGAACAGTTGAGCCCAAAGGCTACCCGAGTGAACCTGTAAGTGACTATGTTGTCAGCGGTGACTTCTGCTTGCGGACATCGTAGCCATAGCAGTCTTGTGGCGTCACGATCCTGAGGTTGTAGACGGACCTGAAGAAACGCCTTTTCGACATCACTCGTCACTGCAATTTTTCCCGTTCTGAAACGCAGGAGGATGTCGTAGAGAGAGGGTAGGATAACCGGTCCCTTGTGCAAGACGTCGTTGAGCGAGTTGCATCCTCGTCGATGGGCCGAAGCATCGAATACAACTCGTAGTTTTGTCGTCTCCTTTTGTGGCGTGATAACTGCTTGGTGAGCTAGATAGTGTACCCGTTTTCCTACCGGTGGTGAGTTCGGGTCAACTTCCTTCGATGATGCCCAGCGCAAGCTGGTTCACGAAGGTGTCGTGATATTGCTCGAGGAGTTCCGGATTTTCTCGGAGCTTCGCTACTGTAGTTTCGAGACGACGAAAGGCCATTGCCTTGTTATCGGGTAGAGTGTCGGCATTGGGTTTCCATGGGAGACAGACGTGGTAACCGTCTGACCGACGCTGGATTGAGTCTTCAAATTGCTTCCAGACGGCTGCGCATACTCGTTTGCGCTCTTCTGCGGCTGGTCCTGAAAACTCATGCACCCCCGATGACTCAAATGCGCAGAACTCTTCCCAGGATGCTGTCAGAATATCCGAGCTTGTTTCTCGAGATGGCGTGTCGTCAGCTTCATGTTGCCGGTCATAATCCGTCTGGTGGTCGAGTTCTTCACTTGAGAGGGATTGATGACGGGATGATTGACGGGTGCTAAGGTGCTCTGGCACAACTGTTGTACCAGCTGGAGTAATTGCGCGTCCCACTACTAAATGACCTAACTTAGAGGGTAGGATTCGTAGTCCGGACGGTAATGTCAGATGAGCTCCCTGTTCGTTATCCAGTAGCGTGAAGACGTCACTGCATCCCAGTAGAATCTGTGGGTGGACATGGGCATGGCTCAATGAGAGTTGTATTTCATTTTCGATGAGGAACCTTTTGTCGTCCGCGCTAAGCTGGCTTCGTTGCATGGGTTCCGTCAATTTTTCGATCTTCGCTACTGAATAGCAGTGCGGATGTCCGTTCCTATCCCAGAGTCGGATGTTGGTTATTCCGCAATTCCTTTGTATTGGCGTCGTGGAGCCAAATGTCGTGATCGTCAGAGGCTTGGAGTCAACTTCCTGTAGTTGAAGACGATCAGCAAGGGAGCTTGTGATGAATGAGCGGTCAGCGCCTGTGTCTAGCAGGACGTGGATCGCCTCGAGAGTTTGAGTTCTCGGGTTGAGAACTTTCGCTTGACCGACTAGAACTAGAGTGTCGCTGCTGCTGGATCTATCTCGCATGTGGAGGACGACATCAGACGGCTTCGCTTGCACCGTCTGCTCGATAGATGAAACGGTGTGCACTTTCGTAGGTAGTGACCTCTGGTGAGAGGAATTCGTTCCAGATGGTTTGTTCCGCGTTGGAGGAGGCTCCAGAGTCGTGTCTTTGGACGACTGTTTCTTGCAGATGGATGTGTGGTGTGCAAACTCGCTACAGATTTTACACGATCCTTTCCTGCACTGAGCTACTCCATGATCTTCTCCTCCACAATTGTGGCAGAGTTTGTGCCGTTTCATTATTTCCAACCGCTTCGCGTGTGTGGCAACCTCCTTACAGTGCGTTGTTTGTGTCCTGGCTTCTTGCAGTAGAAGCAAGTGTGTCCTCTTTCCTTCGCAGTCGATTGAGTGTTGCGTTCGTTAGCTGCGGGATTGCGTATGGGCCTCGGTACTCCTTTCTTCTCTTCGACTTGGTGTACGATGTTCATTTCCGACTTGATG